GGGGGAGCCGCAGGGCGGGGGCTCGGGAGCGGCGGGGGAGAGCGGGGCGAGCCTGGCGCGGAGGCTGGAGGGGAAGCCCCTGGCTGAGCTGCTGCGGCCGGACACGCTGGGGGATTACGTGGGGCAGGAGCGGGTGCTGGGAGCGCAGACCCTGCTGCGGTCCCTGCTGGAGTCCCACGAGATTCCCTCCCTCATCCTGTGGGGGCCGCCGGGCTGCGGAAAGGTGAGTGGCACCGGGGGCACGGGCAGGGGCTCCCGCCGCGCCGCTCGGGCTGGGCGTGTGGCTGGGCAGGCCTGAGGAGCTTCTCCAGGGTGGGACTGCTTTAGTTTTCTGAACTCGCTCTCTTTTCCTCTCGTCTGGGCTTCTTCTTGCCGGGCATTTCCATCAGTCCGTGCAGGTTTTCTCTGGGGTTACAGCACCACAGCCTGCCGCCTGAATAAAAGGGGAGCGGCCCGCCCGCACCGGCCCCGCTCCCTGCAGCTCGCACTTTGGTTACACGTGCCCGTGGTGGCTTCACGTCACTTAGACTGAGCAAACTCCAAAGAGGTTAACTAAAACTTAAGTGTAAAAACAGCAACCAGTCACAAACTTGTAAAAATGTCTAAGAAATCCAGTGAAATTCCCGCAGATTGCTGCTGTAGGGTTTGCTTTAGCTGACAGGTTCTGTCCCCTGAAGGAAGGCAGCTCAGGTATGGAAGGGAGCTAACATTGTGGCCAGGAACTCATCCACCTGTAAACAAACCCTCTGAAAGTGATCGGTCTTTGCAGGATCTGACTGCTGAACGCTCTGGTTCTGCCCCTTTTAGGGTACGTGGGACTGATGGTGGTGAATTCCAAAAGGCACTGTAATAACAGCACAGCAGTGAAGTGATCCACAGCTATAGTGGAGGAAGGACCAAATGAACGCCTCAGGTGTGGTCAGGACAGAACACTGACAAATCTTGCCTTCAATTTTTACTTTTTCTCTATTCCAAATTTGCAGAGGGTGAGGCTAAGCAAGCAAAATATGTGATTATCACTGTCAGTCTAGTGTGTGCACAGCATTAAGTTTTGTGTATTATATATGCAGATGTCTTCATTGTATGTGAGAGTACATGTGGGATATCTGGGAAAATAATGGCTAATGAATTAATGCTAGCAGGAAAGTTAAGAACAGAGCAGCAGCTTGCTCTTCTCAGCGTACTTACTTGAAGATAAAAAGAGATTTGATATGTATGGTATTTTAATAATAGTGCCAGTTTAATCACAGTTAATAAGGAGTATGAGAATAATAGATTAATAGTGTTAGCAATGATGCAACAGTTTGTTTAGGCTAGATAGTGCATATACCTGAAAAGATCCAGCTGGTGAACTTAAATAATTGCCACTTTCTTTAGAATAACAAGGTAATACTAGAAAGCAAGAGATATGAGGATGATGAGGCAAAGAAGGGCTATTTCTAGAAACTCATTAAAGGGAAGGTGGATTGACTGAAGCAGAGAGAAGTGAAATTGAATTCTTTATTAAATAGGAATCCACCTTATTGAATGAGTAACATGTTCAAGGGCCTACTTCTGTGTTTATCTGTACTCTTCTGCCTTGGGTTGGTCATCTGCATCAACAGTGCCTGCTTACTCTTTCTTGAAGCCCTTTAGAAGCTTGAAGCTATTACAAATGCAGTAATTGCAAAGCAAAAGCTGCATGCAATCTCTAAATTACAACTAAATTCAGTAGCATTTGGGTTGTGATATAATGAACCCACCATTTTTGGCCATGGAAATGTTTTTTCATGCGTTTGTGACAGCTTATGCTTGTGTTTTAGGTCTTCTTTAGGAACCTTTTGTGGTACTGTCTTGGAATAACAGAGTGATCTGTTACATGCCTGTAATAACATAGCTATCACTCTCCTTTCTCATGAGCTGTCTTCCTCACCCATATGCCTAATGTGGAGTTACATTTAATAGGCTTGCTTCTTGCAGAGTTCAAATTCTACCACTCATCAGTCATCACAGAATCACAGAATGTCTTTGGCTGGCAGCGACCTCCAAGATCATCTAGTCCAGCCTCCGACCACCACTAAATCTTGGCCCTAAGCACCAGGTCCACATGCCATTTAAATGCATCCAGAGATGGTGATTACACCACTTCCATGGACAATCTATTCCAATGCCTGACTACCCTTTAAGTGAAGAAATGCTTCCTAACATCTAACCTAAACCTCCCCTTGTGCAGCTTGCATCCATTCCCTCTGGTCCTATCACACGTCACCAGGGAGAAGATGTTGTCTCCCTCATCGCTCCAGCCTCCTTTCGGGTAGTTGTGAAGAGCAATGAGGTCTCCCCTCAGCCTCTTTTTCTCCAGACTAAAAAACCACAGTTCCCTCAGGCACTTCTCACAGGACTTGTGCTCTAGGCCCTTCACAAGCCTGGTTGCCCTTTTGGAAGCGCTCCAGCACTTCAGTGTCCGTATAGTTAGGGGCCCAGAACTGAACACAACATTCAAGGTGTGGCCTCTCCAGTGCTGAGGACAGGGGGCAATCACTTCCCTATTGCTGCTGGTCACAGTGTTCCTAATACAAGCCAGGATGCCATTGGCCGCCTTAGCCACCTGTGTGCATTGCTGGCTCATATCCAGTTGACTATTAATTACTACCCCAGGTCTTTTTCCAATCTACTGCTTTCCAACCACACATCACCAAGTCTGTAGCTAACCATGGGGTTGTTATGACCTAAGTGCAGGACCCAGCACTTGGCCTCATTGAACCCCATACAATTAACTTTGGCCTGCTGATAGGTCTTGCTATAGAGCTTCCCTACCCTCTAGCAGATCAACACACCCACCTAGCTTGATGTCATCTGTAAACTTACTGAGGGTGCACTCAATCCCCTCATCCAGATCGTTGATTAAAGAGAACAGGCCCCAGTACTGAACTCTGGAGAACACCACTTGTGGCCAAATGCCAGCCAGATTTAACTCCATTAACTACTACTCTTTACGCCCAGCTATCCAGCCAATCTTTTATCCAGCACACAGTGTATTTATCCAAGCCTAGAGCCACAAGTTTCTGAAGGAGAATGCTGTGGGAGACAGTGTCAAAGGTTTTACTAAAGTCCAGAAAGACAACCTGACCCTGCCTTAAGACTGTGTCTTTTGCCCCATCAAGGAACAATTCCACAATTTACCTGTTAACACTTTCCAAGTACTTTAGCTGTTGAGTAGCTCATCTCCTTTCTTGGTTACTCCTTCTAAACAGTTTTGAGGTGGCATGCTGATTTCAGCTAGCTCTTGATGGACCATCCATTCCTGGCTGAAGCAGAAATTCCTATTGCAAAAAGCTGGGCTTTTCCTTTCACCCACGTGTGTCTGTATTTCTGGGATGGTGCTAGAGTATAGTTTTGTCTTGGGCCTTCTTCCCCTTAAATCGTGCTGTCTCAGGTAAATGGCTGGAAGTTCTATCCTTTACTTGGATATTTTAAAATAAATTCCTCTCCTTATAGATTAAACAAGCAAGTCATAATAGTCCCACTACAGATGTAAAAAGAGCTCTGTGGTTGCCTGCCTGCTTCGTTCACTTACGATTTGAGTTGCATTTGTATAGCAGTGTCTAAGAAGACATTTAGTGACAAAGTAACCTGAAAAAAGTAGAGGATGGACAGATGAAACCTATTTAACTTTTTATGTGAAGAATTGCATAACTTAGTGCTTGAAACTTGAAAGATACTGTGAAGGAGAAGTAAGTATTCTCACTACCTCAGGATCTGCTTGGACTGATAATAAAAAACTTACTCTGTTAAGCACAGTCTCGTTCAGTGGGAAAAATATGAAGAAGTAATTGCACGCTGTATAGCTTCAAATGTAACAAGCCCACATGCTAAGCTCTGCCTATCAAAGAAAATACCCTTACATTAGAGGGTAGGTGCTTAAATAGGAGTATAATTAGATAGGTTGATCTAAAATCAGAAGTGCTGTGTAAGATGGTCACAGACTCCTTAAGCCTCTTCATGCTTCTGCTGTCCATGGAATCTGATTATTGCTGCCCATCTGTGATTTCTTGCATTTCTGCAGCCAAATGCCAAGCCAACTGATACTTCTTTTGGAAAGGGTAGAGCAGGACTAAGGAAAAAATAAATAACTGAAGATGGAATTAATCCTTGGGGCCAATTTCAAATTAATTTCTGAATCATTTATCAGTGTGGACCTTTATGAGAAGTAGTATTTCACCAGAACTTTTCTAAGCAAGAAGAGAATAATCTTGACTATTAAACTGCTGTAAATGCGGTATTTCATACTGTCAGTCAAGAGTACTTTTGGAGACTTTTTATCAAGAAAGTCATAAAGCTAGATGCCTGAGTGAAAATACATGTGGTTTATACTCCTCTGCCTGCCCAAGTTGATTTTGGCTTCAGGTGCACTTCAAGGAACCACAATCAAAATTGAGAAGACAAAACCAGGATACTTACGTTGTGGGTTTATTTTTTATGAATTTCCATCTATATTGTGTCATTTTAAGGGAGCATGATTATTGTGCTTATAATTTTTCATTCTGATTTCTTAGGAAGCCAGGGTACCCTTGGTGACAAGGCTTAGACTCTTCGTTTTTGTTTTTGCTTTTATCACTATTAAATGTTGAACACAAGCAGGTATTTTCTGCTTTTAAGAAGCTGACCAGACACAGGCCAGAAGAAGAAACACTACCTCAAAGAGATGCCATGGTTATTAACTTAAGAACAGTTAGCTTGTCCATCCTGACTATGCAAATTTTAAAAAGCCTGTATGAATCCTACTGTAATCCGAGTAAGCCAGGCTGTGATTTATGACACCTTAATGCAGGGATTTAGATTTTTGCTTGTCTGTCATACGGCACCAATTTTAGTAAAGAGTTGGAGGGGAGATGCAGCGTAACTTGAGAGCTGAATAATTTTGCTGCCACAGATACAGTTTAAGCCTTATAAACCTGAACGTTCTGTATTTAAATGCGGTAAACATTCCCTCTTGTGTTTGCTGTTTAACAAGAAAAAAATGTAGGCAGCAAGTGTCTGGAACCCGTTCCCTACATGTGCTTTTCTGGGGTCCGTAACTTCAGTCTAGTACTTACGCAAAATATGTTCTGTTGGTATGAGCACAAAACATTAGAAACCCCAGTAACTGGTCTCTGAAGTTTCTGACAAATCTCCACTGAGTTTATATGATAAATCTAGGACTCCCCTGTATTTCGTTTCTTTGTTTTTATTCAAGACATTGCT